GTTGGTGTTGATGGCAGGCAGAGAAACCTCCTGATCCCTGGTGCCAACGATGGGCCGCTCGAAGGTGTAAGCGTACAGAATCTTGGGCTGGTACCAGCTGTATCCGTTCCTGTATGCGTACTGGTATCCACGGGCCTTGGCGGCGGTTTCGGCAGCCTGGGCTTCATCGCGGCGCGTAGTCGGCACCGCGGCGGATCCCTCACGGGCGTAGGAGCTGCTGGCACTCCTCTGACCCTCTCCTGCAACTCGTGCTACAGCCAGTGGTCCCTGCACCACGGTGGTGTGGAACTGTGGGGCGTCAGTGTAGCGTCCATCGCTAGCGCAGGCGAAGCCCACCAGGGCGAGCAAGATGACGAACTTCATTGTTGGCCTACAAATAATATCAGAAATTGCTAATAAAATACGAACATGTTGTTTTAGATAAAAGCGGCCTAGATGTTACCCTAATCAGCGATTACAAATTAATTATTTGATATTCACAATGTGATCTTCTGACATGCTAATCTTTAACTGAATCTTCAATTTGCACCGTCGCTCGCGTACCTCCTAATAACCATTACTAACTACTGCTTCATGTACGAGTTAAACTACAATCATCAATAGCTCAGCATTGCTTACCTTAGCGGAGTAGACACCTTACGTCTGATGTGTGACGAGAGAGCGAGTGGTGACGACGGACGGTGGCGACGGCGTTTTTATACAGAAACTCTCGTCCTTGGCATCTGAACGCGACACGATGGTGTTGCGTCATCGTGTATGCTGCTGCTGCCTGTCGCAGCAGTGTACGGATCTCTCCATTCCAGACACAACGCCAGGTGTCATATAACCTCTTTTCGACGTTTGCCTCAGGTGAAATCGCGTCGTATTTCATTCAAACGCGATAATCGATTGAGCGGAGTAATGAGCAACTAGGATCGCGATTGCCATGTAAGGAATTCGGATCGTATGTCCAGCTGTTCTGCTTGCATCTGTGACAAATACGACATACGCATATACGCTCTCCTATGACACAAATATATGTGTTGTGCGCATCATAGGAGTTTAGGAGCGCTATTATGAACGCAAGCAGTGAATTTCAGCTGTAAAGCGTAACGAAGTTGACTCGCCAATATTTGTTATAGGACGAATCTTCCTATAACAAATAGTGTCATAAGAGAGCTTATATGTGTATGTCGTATTTTTGTCATAGATGCAAGCAGAACATGTTGGTATATGCGCATCGCTTTGTAAAGCTTGTCGCTATTTATCACATGACGGTCAGTGCCTTAGCTGATGTTGTGCGCTATATCATACTTCGCTAGGTGACATAATTATCTGTACAATGTACATGGATAATACACCTGACATAATAAAATATAACATAATAACAATAATATTAATAAAAATAAAAATAATTAACGTAATATAATATGCTGTGGAGCTTATAATATTCATAATTAATATTCATTCACCAGATTACTACCTTCTCTCGTGTTAGAAGCCATGATGACTCATCACAACAATTCAACGATTGAACACTATCATATACTTATTAAATAATTACTTCATAATAGTTTAACTAATTAATAACTTTATTTAATAATAATTTACTTGAAATAATAATAATACTTAGTATACTTAATTGATTGTAGTAAATATATCGTCTTATTATTAGATTGATGGAATCGTATGTGTACAAATGTACTTCTTTTCTCACTCTCTACTTATTATGACTTCGGTGACGTAAACAAGTCAACGGCAAGTCTAGTTATAGCAGCCGCTAATAAATAGCATGGCAAAATCATCTCCATATCCATCTACCCCGGCGTAGGAGCTGCTGGCACTCCTCTGACCCTCTCCTGCAACTCGTGCTACAGCCAGTGGTCCCTGCACCACGGTGGTGTGGAACTCTGGGGCGTTGGTATAGTCACCATCTGTAGCGCAGGCGAAGCCCACCAGGGCGAGCAAGATGACGAACTTCATTTTGGGCCTACAGAAAACATCAGAAAAATATAAAATCATCATTCGAAAATAAATGACAAAAAGAAGCTAACTAACCAACGATTGTAACAATAATATTGACAATGTCTCAACTGTTTTTCCCGATGCGTTAACTTGATCATTATTCTGTCACTAATCTCCGTGAAATTTTGCGAAATGTTTCTTAATCCTAAATGCTGATCACGATTCGCGTAGGAAACGAGTTAAACTACAATCATCAATAGCTCAGCATTGCTTACCTTAGCGGAGTAGACACCTTACGTCTGATGTGTGACGAGAGAGCGAGTGGTGACGACGGACGGTGGCGACGGCGTTTTTATACAGAAACTCTCGTCCTTGGCATCTGAACGCGACACGAGGGTAGAGGCCCCACTGGTGACATGCATGGATGGCGAGGTACACTCGTGGCCATGTAGACTACTAATCGTTGTCTAGTGGTTGAATGGGCGCACGCATCGCGCCAAATGGCTCCGAGTCGCTGTAAAACAAAGGTCAACGCCTGTCAAATGAAATTGAACGCGTTCTCGTTCGCGTTCGCCTTTGTCAGGGGCGTAGCCAGCTAAAAGAAGTGTGTGTGTGTGTGTGTGGGGGGGGGGTGTATTATTACTACAGCAGTGGAACTTTATACTATCGAAACATAGAAAATAGCGGCTATAAGCAGCCAGCGCTAGCGCCGTTAAGCGGGAAGCACCTTAGGAAAAATTTAGGAAATTTAATGGCTCCAGGTGCGATTTTCCAGCACTTTGAAATAGTATTTTTATTCATTAATTAATGCTTTTTGAGTAACTTTTCGCCATATAACCAACTTCTGGAACCCAATTTCCCGAGAAAAATCCTTAAATCTCAATTTAGCTGTCATTGATTTGTAAAAGTTTAAATTGAGGTTTTAAACTAATTTAATGACTGTGACTTTGACCCGGTTTGAAACGGTTAATTTTATGGAAATAAAAAAAACTTAACACAATGCTAAATTAATTATTTCTCACTTTATTCTCAGAATACTGCGGGAATAATACATATACGTGTACTAGATACTTATCCTGTAATTAATGAGTCCTAATGAGTTTCTGGGAACTAGTTTTTAATGTGATTAGAAACGTAGACAATTAGGGGTGTTCCAGGATTTGTGTATTTTGTACTAATCTGGCAGTGTAAAAACTCTTACTTCTGACACTCATGTTTTTGCGGAGTCTCGTAATCGGACCATTTCGAGGATTGATTGTTACATTGTAATAACGTGTCCTACCCACGCCTCGTGTGGTTTGTTCGTTACTGTCTGCGATCTGTTGACCTTTGCTAATTATGCAGAATTTGTCATACGAACTAGACTTGTGTATGTACATGTTTGTATCCACTCAGTAAAATAATAATATGGCTACTAATATATCTTGATATATATGATATCATATATTGAATAACACAACCATGATGGTATATAATGCATAGTGACAGCTACGTGCAGAGAAGTAAGTATGTGGGTGTCGTCGTGGAAGACGATGTACAATTCTGCGACGGATCGAGAAAGAATGCGCCATAGAGCTTTATTCACGTGACATATATGTGTAATAGAATACCTATAGGATTGGCCATAAATGTCTATATACCTTTATACTCAGTTCAACAGCATGAGTAAAGATGATGATTAAATCTAGTGTACTGCTGTTATAAGATATCTGGACACGTGCTTTATATTTCCAACTATATGATAGCAGTATACCTGTTCGTTATAACTATGTTTTTGTAAATTTTAACAAGATTGTTGTATTGCGCAGGCAGCCATACATGGTGTACTTGCCCATTTAATAGTTAGTAGAAGGTTTAAGAAGTTTGCTAACCTTTGTATAATGTAAACATAACATGAGTAAGAAACGTATAGAAATAAATGATATTCTGTTCAACGAAATCAATTTATTACATATATCTGTAATATATATGCATATATAAATATATACATGTGAGGGATTACCAGATATACAAACGATTGATCTTATGATAATCGGACTCCGATGAAACAGTAAATTTAAGCGTGAAATTTATAGGACGCCTTTATTTAATAAAAGCTCTGTTAGTCTCTTGCTACATCTTACAACTATAGCACTCGTTTTGTTGATCTGTGCATGGTTTGTATACCGCGTACTTTAATGCGCCCTGTTTAGATAACCTCCAAGTAATTACCAATTGCCAAGTCAGTATCTATGGCCAAGTCCGTATCTATTGGCAAGTCTGTATCTATTGCCAACTCCGTATCTATTGCCAAGTCTGTATCTATTGGCAAGTCTGTATCCATGCCCAAGTCCGTATCCAAGCCCAAGTCCGTATATATTGCCAAGTCTGTATCCATTGCCAAGGCCGTATCCAATGCCAAGTCCGTATCCTCCATGTCCATAAACTCTGTTACCAAGTCCATGTACTCCAGGTCCGTGCACGCCAAGTCCCCGCACGCCAGCAACTCGTCCTGTAGCCAGTGGTGCCTGGACCACGTTCGTACGGACCATCCGGCCGCCCATAAGGTAACAACCGCAGGCATAGCCCACCAGGGCGAGCAAGATCAGGAGCTTCATTGTTAACCTACAAATAATATCAGACATCGTTTTAAAAATACGAACATGTTGTTTTAGTAAAAACGGCTTAGATGTTAACCTAAACACCGACTACAGATGAACGAATTTATCTTTGCAATGTGATCGTCCGACATACCAATCCTTATGTTAATATTCCATTTGCAACAGTCGCTCGAATAACCATTACTTACTACTGCTTCATGTACGAGTTAAACTACAATCATCAATAGCTCAGCATTGCTTACCTTAGCGGAGTAGACACCTTACGTCTGATGTGTGACGAGAGAGCGAGTGGTGACGACGGACGGTGGCGACGGCGTTTTTATACAGAAACTCTCGTCCTTGGCATCTGAACGCGACGCGATGGTGTTGCGTCATATCGTGTATGCTGTTGCTGCCTGTCGCAGCAGTGTACGGATCTATCCATTCCAGACACAACGACAGGTGTCATATAACTTCTTTTCGACGTTTGCTTCAGGTAAAATCGCGTCGTATTTCATTCAAACGC